AGGAACCCTGAGTGCTAACAAGGGGACCTCTCCCCAGAAGAGGGGCCAGCGGGAGCCGGGCCCCTGCTGCTAGGACTGGGAGGCCCTGGGCAGGCGTAGCGACTGGCGGCCTTCCTGCCTACACGTGGGGTGCCCGACTCCCTCTAGCAGCTTGCAGAAGTGAGGGCATTGGTCTGGGCCGGGGCGACTCAGGTCAGTGGAGGGAGGAGTGGGAAGTCCTACCCTGAGTCGAATTCAGAGCTCTGGTGGAGAACAGTGGGGTCCCGTCGGGTGCCACCTCTTCTGTCATGCCTTTTAGACCCGAAACAGCCTTGACGGGATGCGGCTTCCCCGGAACTTGCAATTCTTTTATTTTTTTTTGAGACGGAGTCTCACTGTGCTGGCTTGAGGCCAGTGCCGTGGCGTCGGCCTAGCTCACAGCAACCTCCGACTGCTGGGCTCAAGCGATCCTCCTGCCTCAGCCTCCCGAGTAGCCGGGACTACAGGCACGCGCCACCATGCCCGGCTAATTTTTCTATTTTTAGTAGAGACGGGGTCTCGCTCTTGCTCACGCTGGTCTCGAGCTCTTGCGCTCGAGCGACCCTCCCGCCTCGGCCTCCCAGAGTGCTAGGATCACAGGCGTGAGCCGCCACGCCCGGCCAACGTCCAGCTCTTCGGGTCCCATTTAAGCAAGGACCGTGTTGTGAAGGACGTAGTCTCGGGTCAGTTGAGGGTGGAGTCCCAGGACTGGTGAGGTATCAAGGTGAAGATCCTGAGTTAGGAAATGGGGACCACTCAGCCCCCAGTGGAGAGGGCTGCACCGAGCCTCACCCCAGGGAGGCCCAGGTCGGAGCTGACAGGCTCAGGTGCCCCCGGCTTGAGCCTGCGGGGCTGCGATAGCTAAGGGCTTGGTTTAAGGACTGTTTGCTCCAGGCCAGCAGGGAGGGGAGTCCCAGGCTCTGTTGGGAGTGGGAAGCCATGGGCAGAGCTGAGGGGGCCTCCCATTTCCTAACAGGACAGTGGTGTCTGAGAGAATTGGATCCCTGGCACTAATGGGTGAA